CGTGAGTACTTTCATTTGGCGTTTTATCTGAATTTTTAATGAATCTTTGGCGTCATTTTCTAGCCACGATATCATCATTCTTTGAGACATTGATGGGTCATATTCACGACATAATTTAATAATAGCGTCGTAAAATGACATGATTGTTTCACCTGATTGTTGTTTTCGTTCTTTCAATTTTTCAAATATTTTTGATAATGATTCTGTGGGTTCAAATCGTTCCATTCGGTTAATGAAGTATTAGCTGCATACCAACGTTGTACTTCTTCATTTAATTATGCGGTACACATGCAAAATAGAACTTCGTCTTTCGCTCCAATCATTTTTCCAATTCCAATGTTGTTTATAAATTGAGAAATTTTTTTGACTCTTGTGACTGAAATCATCCTTTTTTATTTTTTTTATATATATGAACGGTCTGGTTCGATTTTATTATAAGAGAATATAATAAAATTTCAGTCACGCCACTAAATATTAGGGGATAGGGTGAGAGCTGAATATATATCTAGGAAATATAGGTTCCTATGAGAATTTTGTCAAATTCGCATCTCGTTGAAAAAAATAAGTGGAAAGCTGGAAGACGCCTCATTTTGATCAGAATTTTACGGACTACAACCCGGAGAGGGCGAAGAAAGGTTCCAGGCAGGTCTTCACGGTTTGGGGTTTTCTGAACAATCGGTTTTGGAAAAATATCTTAGCAAAAAGAATGGTACAGAAACCGAAAATCTGCTGTCTACGTACATCCGAGTGTGGCCTGCATTTTGATATAAAGCTTGAGCCATAAACATTTGCACAGGGAGAAAATTGGGTTATTGGGTCTCACGTTTAAACGAAGAATTCAATCTCGGTGAAGCGGTCTTAAAATTTGTGAAGGGGCGGGAAAGATAGACCGTGTTCTTAAGTATAAATTCATATTAAAAGATAGCTTTTAAAGTTTGTTTAAAGTTGGTTTGTACGACTATAACTTTTGATCCGCTTGATCAATCAAGCTCAAATTGTTTTTAGTAGCAGAACTCGCTAATATCCATGACTAACATAAATTTCATCGATGACTGAGTTGCTTGTTCATCAGTCGTTGTTCAGTTAGTTGCTTGTTCTGTTCTCCAACCAAGCACGACTGTACAGAAGTGTATATGCTGTGATAGAAAATGATCTGCTCTTTCCAATTATCACCTTAGTTGAAAGTTTTTGTGCTTCCGGGAGAAATGGCCTCATAAATTCACCTCAGATCTCAGGTAATTCCGTCACTCAAACGGGGAATAACTCTCTGCCTTGCGGAAAAGGAACAGGTAGATATCTGGATTCAGCGCTTGGAGAGCTGTCAAAGCATATATTTTGTTTTGCGTTTAGGTCGATTCTTTTTGTCGAAAACTTTATTTCAACTTGATCGGTTGAAAATATTCCCTTGACTGTACAGGAATGGTGCTCTCGAGTTAAAATGCCTGTATGTTTGGATGTATGTCCGCAGCCTAGATACCAGCGATGCACAACTTGTTCGCGGACAGTTGCACACACTTATCTGCGTCCTAATGCACGAGATCAGTGAGCACATTGCGTGTTATGTGCCTAGGCAAAATTTCTGCGAAACGAAGGAAAAACGAGGGCAACAGTAGTGAAACTGGTAAATTTTGTTGGGGCATCTACAGCAATAATGCAGCGAGACAAGCAGTGGAGTAAAAAGTAGCTCCGGTTATTTAATCATAGATACGGCTTTTTCTTTCGAAATCTGACAAGAAATCAGTTTTGGTATTTTCAACCTAATCTTATTATTGGTCCTCGAAATGAGAGGGACAGCGTGTAGTAAAGGAAGTCGCAGACTGCCGATCAAGGCAGAATTCTGTGGTTCAGGATACAGTAGAATTTCCGGTTAGTAATACGTGAGAGAGGCAACCATCATGTCTGAGAGGTGTATACCGAAAATAGCCCCAGCTCATGGTAAGTGATTATTAAGATTTTCAGCCAAGGGATAAGTGCATCCGAATGATGAACGCTTCCTGTTTGTAAGTTCAGAATACTTTGTCAATCCGAACGGATTATTTTCTAGAAAAAAGCAACGAAATCCGTCATTAAGTGAGTGTGGCTTACGAACATATCCAATAACTGCTATTATCCCCATCGTTAGATAGCTGACTTCTGAATAAACAAACAAGTCTCAGACCACGTTGTGAGGTGTTCGCTGTCTAAAAATCACAAGACCTCCGATACGAATGTCGTTTCCACAGTTAAAAACTTCATTTTTTCAAATATGATATTTGATAGAAAAACTATCAACGGCCGGGATTTAGGCTATTCTATTAAAATAAGCTCGCGGTCTCCCGTAACGCCTACTTCATCGCGGTTCCAAATCTCGACCGCGATCCACCACATTTTGACGCAGTGCAGAGTTATCGTGTCGACAGTCTTTGGTTCGATATAGTTAGGTATGCACCAGTTTTTAACTGGCGTTGGGGCATTCGGGAGAATTGCTATACATCAGTTATCACGATTCGCTCAGAGCTGTAAAACATCTGATGTTGTGGAAAGATGTTTGCTCTACAAGATGCATTTGTTGAACAAGTTCCAAAGTTCTATCTAAGAAAACTTAGAGCATTCTAAAATACACAAAATCACGAGAAAACCTGTTCGAACAGTTTCCTTTCTGTGATTTAATGCATTTTTGAATTCTCTAAATTTTCTTAGATAGAACTTTGGAACTTGTTCAACAAATGCATCTTGTAGAGCAAACATTTTCCCACGAAATGAGATATTTCACAGCTTTGAGCCAATCGTGATAACTGATGTATAGCAACTCACCCGAACGCCCCAACACGAGTTAAAAACTGGTGCAGACCTATATATACTTAGCTTTAAAAAGTTTTCCAACGACATCTTTTAAGTGAAACGTGGTAGAAACCGTGATTTTTCTGCTTTAAGCATAAAAGGTAATTCTTCAAAACACCTTGCCAGTGATTGCACGATAAAATAGAATTTCCAAGAACCAGTTTCCAGCGAAGTTGTAGCTGATGTCATTCTGCATGAGACCAGCAGAAGGGATTTTCGGTACAAAATTTTCAACAGAAAATAAATGAAAGTTAAAAGCTTTCGAATTTGAAAACTTTTCCTAGTTTTTGTCGTTAGACAAGAAAACGTGTTTCGCCTGTTATACCTAGAATTGCATAGAGCACAACTTTTGTTGCAGCAGTTCACCCACCCTCAGAGCTAATAAAGTTATAGGCTAATTATAATTAGATTAATCACCACCGCTGTTGGCAAGAAACCGCGATGATTACTTGTGTTTTCGAAGCCGCGTGACATCGATAAGTAGATTAAAAGCGCGGTTCCACGCCATTTTTTTGCGAATCGCGGTCACGCGTAACGCCTAGTTCCTCGGTGTTTTCAACGCAACCGCGATCCACCCGGATACATTAGTGCAATCGCTGTGAAACGCGGTAACGGTTAAAGCCGCGAGAAACTAGGCGTTACATGTGACAAGCGATTCGCAAAAAAGGCGTGTGGAACCGCAGTTCTAATCTACTGTAGCGATAGCACGCGGTTAATAAAGAAAACGCGGTCTCCCGTAACGCCTACTTTCTCGCGGTTCAAAATCTCGACCGCGATCCACCGAACTTTTATGCGCAAAAAATACTCATGGGCTGTGTGTAGTCAGTATCCGTGACAAGATTTTGAGGAGCGTATCCGAGCAACAAGGGCTTCCGAAAACCCTGAGCAGGCAACTGTCTGTCGAACATTGTTCTGAATAGATCTTTCTTCCTTACACCATTGAGCGTATCGTACACACAGAACAGTGTCGCCTACGTACCTCCAGTTACGCTGACTTTATAGCTTCGTGTTTGCCGAGCACCATTCCGGTCGGTAAAACTGCAGTACACAAAACCGGCTCCAGTTGCATCAAATATAATAGTACCACTCGCACCATTAGATGTCATTGTAAATGGTGATAGGTTAGACGACCAATTATAGTTTGTTCCTATACTGTAGCTGATTTTATATGTTTCTAAAACGTTAATCGGCGCCGGATTAGATCCGCTGATCACACCAACAACTAAATAAACCGAAATAGAAATACATTGCGTAAATAAGGAGAAGTAACATTTGTCAAGAGCGAAGTCGACTCTTTGACTGTCAGCCAGAAGGCAACTGTCTGCCGACAAAACGGCCGAACATTGTTCTGAATTGATCTTTCTTCCTTATAACATTGAGCTTATCGCACACTTAGAACAGTATCGCCTACGTACCTCCAGTTACGCTGACTTTATAGCTTCGTGTTTGCCGAGCACCATCCCGGTCGGTATAACTACAGTACACAAAACCAGCTCCGGTTGTATCAAATATAATAGTACCACTCGGGCCATTAGATGTCATTGTAAATGGTGATAGGTTAGACGACCAATTATAGTTTGTTCCTATACTGTAGCTGATTTTATATGTTTCTAGGACGTCAACTGGCGCCGGACTAGATCCGCTGATCACACTAACAACTAATAAAGAGAAATAGAAATACGTTTTTAAATTGGGAGGAGTAATATATTTGAATTGCGAGTTAGTGTCACCTGCAAAATGTCGGACTGGACCTTTGGCAGTAGTTAATAGTCCAGTTTTGTGTGTATCGAAAATACATTAGAAGCACAGCTTTAGTTAGCAGTAATTAGCTAGTTCGCTAATTACTGAGGTTTGGGCAGTTATAATTGAGCGTTGCCGAAGGTGCCGGCACCGTATTTATTGATTTGTAATAGACTTATTATTCAAGAATTCGTACTACTTT